CACCATTCCTTTCCCAGGGACCTCCTTGAAGTGCGTCTTCATGAAAAGCTCATGTGCAGTAGGTAATTGCCCTTTGTTTTTTGCTGCCTTTGAATGTACATGCACAAAAACAAATAAAACTTGTCATTTCAATGTAAACCACAATTGTTACCTATTTACTTGCCTTATAAAGAAACTAACCATCCTTTTTGCATGTTGTACAGATGAAATTGAACCCTGGTAGTGGGTTGGTTCAACCACATTGTCCATGGATCCGCCTCTTCTGTTCTTCTTGTTTTGTTCGGACCGTTTCTTGTACGCATCATCATTGGCAACAATGTGCATCATCTTCCGGTGGACTTCATCGATAAGCCAGCTCGGCTTCTCACCTTTCATCTTGTGTGTGATTGTGTGAAACATGTCCTTCAGCCGATATGCGAACTTGGATTCGAAGGTTCTCTTCACATGGTCCTCCAACTCGGTGCCCATGTGCATTGCTTCTGCAATTGACAAACATTTAAAGTTAACAACCAAATCTCAAACTTCGCAATTAGTAATACATAGTTGTAAGTATAAAATGTCATACACAAAACAAGTTCCACCAATGCTCCTTTGTTTTAGCATCAACCTCTCCGTAATTCCTCCAAGGCTTTCGATAGTAGCCTATTAGGGTACCGGAGATGGCCTTTATCACGGGTTTATCATCAAACCTATTTTAACGTACATCAAGATCAAAAAGAAAATAAGTAGTTCATGTTAGAGTAATCCATAGGTCATGATATAAAATATGGATACAAAGGGATTGAAATAACAACTAAATACATACCAGCACGTGACAGGGTCTATTACCACCCTCTGAGAAGACTGTGAGGCTTGTTGCCCCTGAAGCTGTTGCTCATGATGCTCAATTTGCATCTGTGTTTGAGGATCCTCGTCGTCACCCAAATCTTCCGCGTCCTCCGCGTCCTCCATTTCCTCGTCATCATCATATATCAAAACTTGTCTTTTCTCCTTTCCCTTTCTTCTCTTCGACGTTTCTTCTTTTTTCCCTCCCACCATTGCAACCTGAAAAAAACGTTAGTAACATGCTATGACATTATTAACATTACAAAAATTAGAAGTACAATGAGATGTAAAAGTAATAAAATAGAACGACCAACTCTATAATTGGTTTTATAATAACAATCAAATTAAACCGACAATTACATTCAAAGTACAAGCAAATGCATCCTATTTATTTTACAATAACAACCACATTTTCCTACTCGTGGCTTTCATCGCTACTATCACTACCGGTATTATCACTACTATCATCTAAAAACACATCGATGTCATCATCCTCGTCACTGTCACTAGAGTCGACGCTGGATTCATCATCTAATTCACTTGAGATTATTAAGTCGTCATCATCATCTTCGTCGTCATCCTCAACTGGGTCGTAGTCAAGAATGTCATTCGGTGGACAAAGCGTTGCATGTACTTCTGGGGACGGTGCCTGCAAAAACTCAAGGTCTACTGGAGCATCAACCACTGACCTTGCTTGTGTTTTAAACACAGACCACCATTGTACTCGATCCCGTTTTAGGCTAGGGTAGGATGTGTAGTACACTTGGGTCACTTGATAAGATAATACAAAGGGATCATACTTGGGGTATTTCTTAGTATGATTCACTTCGACAAGCTTATACTGTTCATGTATGTTCATACCCCTACCACAATCCATCCAACTACACTTAAAGAGTATAGTCTTATACTCTTTTATTGGACCAGTGTAGACAAGTTCAATTATATCGTCTAGAATGCCAAAGTACTCTCCACCGTCCTCACTAGACACACAAACACCGTAATTCATCGTAGACTTGTGTTTACCATAGGAATGTGTATGGAAATTAAATCCACCAACAAAAATCCGCCTCCAAGTTCGAACACGCTTGAAAGGACGCATGCACAAAGCTTGGAGGACATCCGAATTTGGTTTCTCTTCAACCACCTATTTACGTCAGAATAGAAGAATTAATTAAAGAGAATTGCAATATCTAAAAGTCATATTTAAAGAACAGGTAGAACAATTATATCACCTTATGGTGAAACCAATCAGAGAATTCGACGTCACATTTCTCCATGACTTCCTCTCTACGCAAAAAAGGTCGGGTACTAAGAACGTAGTCCCAAACTTCCTATTAGGTCAATGACACGAGATAAAATTAGTAATTCAACCAATTTAATTCTTCAAAACTATGAATAAATTTCAATCCTGACCACGTATACCTTTCGTATTCACCAAGAATGCCGCAGTTTCGTAAAACTAACAAATGAGCACACTCGAGTTCCTTTTCATCTAAGTACCGAGTTTTACCATCAGATGAGACACGACCACTATCCACCGAGAACAACTCCGGTAAGTCAGCGTTGTCCAATGTGGATTCCACGTCTACATTCACATTTCGACCAAGATCCCGAGTTTTTGTGTCAACTGACGCCTGGAAGTAATTTGAGCAAAAGTTTGCTATCTCTTCGGTGAGATAAGCATTGCATATTGAACCTTCAAATCGAGCCTTGTTCCCAATTTTACGTTTCAAGTGATTAAGGAACCTGCATGTAAAATAGTATAATTAATTGCGTAAATAGGTCATGACTATGAAGGGTTTGTATGAAAGAAATTAATGGGACTTTGATTTACCTTTCGAAGGGATACATCCATCTATATTGAACAGGACCACATAACTTGCCCTCATATGGAAAATTGACAGGGTAAAGTCATATCCCCAAATCAAAAATAATTCCTAAGTCCTCTAACTAAAGCAGATAGGGAAGTAGGGTCGATCTCCACAGGGAAACAAGTCTTTTTACTCCTAATTAATTATTATAATCTAAATTATCTAAGTAACCAATATTTATATTCGAATAAGAAACTAAACTACTAAGATTGAGAATAGGGAGAAAACAATATATAAAAGGATCTAGGGCATAGGTTCACCAATAAATAATACTCCAGGGTAAAACATAATAATCAATCATTGACATTGCATAAATAACATGATTAACAGGCTATCACAATTTATTAATCAACATAGATCTAACAGGCTCTCGCAATTTACTAGATCTAAGTTCTTATTGAAAATAGCCTTTAATATCAAATTAACATTTGCTCGATTCATCAATTCAATATTGCTATACTTTTACAAGCCGCAATTGTAAAGCGTTAAAGCAATTCAATAAGAAATTATCATGCAATATCAAAAATCAATAATAGTCAATCATCAATGCATCAATTAACCAGATTGTAAAGGGCTTTCGCTACGTATTACAATCACAGAATTAATCTACCGGTATTAAATATCATCTCTCGAATCTCAACTTAACCATTTATAAATTTACCTGCCTATTGAAACTAGACCTAAACATTAATTCTCATCTGTCGAATCTCGAATCAATGTTGTCATACTCATGCATAAAAGATAGGCCTAATCTAGTCACAGAGCATTAAATCAATCAATAGGAAATTAATCTAACACTGATAATTAACAACAACAAATTACCCCTTCATATTATTTATGGATCCTCATAAACCCTAGAAATAAAACTACTCACACATAATAGAAACTAAACTAATCAAAGCAATAAAGCAAGACATGATTAAAGGAATAAAATAAACAACTAAGATTAAGAGAAGAGAAATCGTTACCAAACTAATCTGTATTAATGGAAAATAATTAAGAACAAGAGTTGAGAGAAAAGTTAAGAGAGAGAAAAATCCTAAGTAAAGAGAGAAAGTCTAAGAAAGAAGGTCATCAAAATTCCGTACAAAACTCGTATATAAACGTTTCCTAAAATAAAAATTAAAACTAAACTAATCAGGCTCCATAAAAACACGCGCCCGATCGAGCAAAGGGCCGCTCGATCGGGCCCGCCTTTTCCTTCGCGCTCTTTCTCAGCAGCATCGCCCGATCGTGCTAGACGCTTGCACGATCGGGCCCTTGCTTCACTTTGAGGCTCGGACTTCGATTGAGCTTGATTTCTCGGCCCAATCCGGATTTCCTTTTCGGGTCTTGAATACTCGGTCCAAATACCTCGGGATCCCAATTACCGAGCCCTTAATCACCGGCTCGATGACTCTAACCGGCCTTGGGCTTCAAAGATGGTCGTATTTCTCCAATGCTCGTGATTGCTCCAAAATAACTCGGGAAAATACTCCAAAAGCATAAAACCCTGCAAAAGTCAACCAAATATACGAAAACACTAGAAAACACCAATTAGTAATAAAAATGGCTCTAAAGAACCAAAAACACTACTAATTACGACCAAGGGACGAGGGTAAAATGCTATATAAAATAGACACATCACAAATGAATATGTAAATGCTCCATAGAGTTGAAGAATGCAAGAGGGAAAACCTTCTCAAGCTTGCAAAGGATTTCAGCTATATTTTTCTCTAATCGCTCCATGTCACTAACTGTGATTGTGTAACAACACTAATCGCGGAAGAATTGACTGATCTCTGTAACCGCATTCCAAATATGGGTAGGGAGCAATTCCCTCAAAGCAGTGGGCAACAACCTCTCCATGAACACGTGACAGTCGTGGCTTTTCATTCCATGAAGCTTACAGGATTGTAAATCTACGCATCTGCTCAAATTGGAGGCATATCCATTTGGAAAACGCAACTGTTTAACCCATTCACACAACACTTTTCTTTGAGCCTTGTCAAGAGCGAATGGGGCTTTTGGCATAAACTCTTTTCCTCTATCATCTTCATGCATATGAAGTTGTGGTCGTTTACAATATTTGGCAATGTCATTTCGAGCCGATGGCGTGTCACATGTATGCTTTTTCACATCCATTATGGTGTGGATTAGCTGATCAAAGAAGTTCTTTTCAATGTGCATGACATCCAAGTTGTGACGGATGAGCAAATGCTTCCAATAAGGAAGTTCCCACAACGAGGTTTGCTTGAACCACCCTTTTTTTGCTTTTTTTAGGTGTTTCAATGCCTCCGGTCCATCAGTTGCCTTTAGAAGGTGTCACACACATTCCCACAATTCCTCACCTGACATGATGTGTGGCGGTGAACCTTTTTCAACTTTGTTGTTACAAAATGCAGTTTTGCTTTCTCGAAAAGGGTGATCTGTTGGAAGGAATTGGCGATGGCAATCAAACCAATAAACTTTGCCACCATGTTGAAGCCAAAATGCTTTGCTTTTATCCATACAATAAGGACAAGCCTTCTTACCCGCTGTGGTCCAACCAGACAACATACCGTAAGCTGGGAAGTCACTAATGGTCAACAGGATGGCTGCTCGAAGATTAAAATTTTGTTTCCTTGAAATGTCATAAGTATTTGCACCAACTTCCCATAAATGCTTCAACTCTTCTACCAACGGTTGCATATGCACATCCAAATTGCCCTTAGGGTTCTTAGGACCAGGAACGAGCAATGAAAGAAACATGAATTGTCTTTTCATACACATTGAGGGAGGCAAGTTATAAGGGGTCAATATGACAGGCCAACAAGAATATTGTCCCCCAAACTTACCATGAGGAGCAAAACCATTTGTACACAAGCCAAGTCGAACATTACGAGGCTCATTGGAAAATTCTGGGAAGAAATTGTCGAGGTGTTTCCAAGCTTCACTATCACTAGGGTGAGCCATTGTGCCTTGAACTCGAGGATTTTTCGAATGCCATGTCATTTCCTCCGAAATGTTCTTGGTTGCATAGAGCCTTTGCAATCTCGGTGTGATCGGAAAGTAAATTAAAACATTCAAAGGCACTAAGCTACCTTTGGAAGTCTTCTTGTATCGGTCGCTACCACACACCCGACATGTAGATAGCTGAACATCATCCTTCCAAAATAGCATACATCCTTTCGGGCATGCATGAATCTTTTCATGAGGCAACTCCAACCCCTTTACAATCTTCTTCACCTCATAGAATGTATCGGCCATATGGTTGTTGTTAGGAATAGCCTCATTGACCAAAGAATCAAACCCATCAACACATGTATGGGGAAAATTATACTCGCACTTAAGACTAGTAATTCGGGCAGCCATCTCTAAGACAGACAATGAACTCCCTTCATATAATGGTTGTTCGAAAGCTTTTAACAAATCCAAGAAATTCTTAGCTTGTGCATTAGGCTCCTCCTCTGCCTCTTCAGAATGCCCTTGATCTTCATTATGACCAAAAGCATCGAAAACCATTTCACGGTATTCATTTGACGGCCCTTCAGAAACTCCCGGAAACCCTTCCCCATGACACATCCACTCATAGTAATTAGGCACAAAACCTTTGCGGTACAAATGAATTTTAACCGTTTCCGCATCCCATAGCCGCTTGTTCTTACATTTAAAACATGGACACCTAACTTCATTCGGGTTGCTGCTCTCGGGATGATCTTCCACGTATTTAAGGAATTCATCTACCCCTTTCACAAATCCGGATTAATATAATGTCCAACCTTCCTTTCATACATCCAGCTACGTTCTGTTCGTTTCATGATTACAACTTCTACACAACTCACGAATATGTATAATTACATTAGTCACAATGCATATTGAATATTCATTATCCATAAAAATGTTATGAATATGCAAATAAGATTGTAAATGATGTCCATAGGTCCTTATCACTCCAACCTAACCCATCCTTGGACATTTAATCTCACTAGCAAATGTATGCCAGGTTTTCAATTCTATGGAAAATCCGGCAGCATTTCCCTTAAGTTCTCCAAGTACACGATTAAGGCTATTAGATAACCCGTCATATGTACCCAGAGAACATTGTAGAGAAATGACAAAGCAGGATAATCTCTAGAATCAATAACAAGGCATACATTCACCACCTAAGTGAGAATAAACGTCTAAGGACAGTCCCAACCGGGGACTATTCAAGACATACTCCTAATGAGTATGACTTGAACGGGTATCTAGGCAAATGACTATGCAAATGATTCATTCAAAAGTATATAAAGCCAAAAACACATACATTGTTATAACACATTCATTATAACACATCCATCATTATAACACGCTCATTTTAAAATATGCCAAGCAAATAACACAACCATTATAAAGTAAAGAACACAATTAATTAAATTAAATTAATAATTATAAGTAAACCAAATATATCATAATCATCATTAAATTAATATAAATAATCATATATAAACAATTAATATTCATAATTAAATTGATTCAAAAAATTATTAATCATTACATTAACTAAACAAAACTAATGAACATTACATTAAATAAAACAAAACTAATATACATTATAAAATTATCACATATTAAACTAAGCTAACATACATCATTATACTAAACTAAACCAATATAAACTAACATATAATCCCGTACATTATTATAATAAAATATTAACCTAAACTAACATATCATGTCATACATTATTATACTAAATCAAAGCAATTTCACATGTCATGTCTTACATTATTATGATAAACCAAATTAAACTAACATATCAACCATTATTATAATAAAATAAACCAAACTAAAGTAACTTAAAATTATCACAAAATAAACTAAACTAAGATTTTTTGAAATTATAATGTCACTAACCTCAAGATCTGCACTATTTATTGAGATTCAAAGCAAGTAAATGTTCAAATCCTACAAATAGTAAAAATTAATATGTCAATTTTTATTCGAATATATATATATATATATATATATATATATATATATAAAATAAAGGTACAATTATTTTTTTTAAAAAAATATATAATAAAGGTACAATTACCGGCTGTAGAACGGCGGGTGGTGAAGATGGTGGTGGTTCTGGTCGGAGCGAGGGCAATATTGGAGGAGGAACCTGTCCAAAAAGGGTGGTGGTGGTTAGGGTTTTTTTTTTAAAAAAAAAAACAGAAATTTTTAAAATAATAAATAAATAACCAGAATTTTTTTTTTTAAAAAATAAAAACCAAAAGATACTTGCGGTGGTGGCTGATTGTAAAGGCGCCGACTGGATACCGGCGGTGGTGGTGGCTGTACAAAGCAAAGGTTACATTTTTTAATTAAAATTTAAAAAAAATAAAAAAAAATATTACACAAAACAACACTTACCAGCGGCGGAGAACTGCGTGGTTGGGCGACGCGGGACCTCTGCAGTGGTGGCTGTTCACAGCATACGGTGGTGAATGGAGGCGTTTTTATAATTTTAAAATAAACAAAACCAAACCTACACTTACCGGCGGCCGACCAACGGGAGGGCGGGTCGAAGATTACCCCCGGTGGCGGATCTCCGGCTGCGGCCAAGGGATGGGCGACATTTTCTCTTCGACGGCGGCGACTCTCGCTGCTTCTCCCTTTCTTTCTTTCTCTTTCTTCCCCTTTTTTCCTTTCGTAGCAAATTGATTCAAAATTGAAAACCCTGACTTTGTCTTCCTAATTTTTCGACCGAAATTAATTCCGTCGGAAAATTTGCGAGGAAATTTCCGTCGGAAAGGCTATTTTTTGACGGAATTTAACGACAAACTTAGTTCCGTGATTGATGATAGGTTTTGCGACGGAAAATCGGGCCCGTCGGCATAGTTCGGTCGAAAACTGGCCATTTCTAGTAGTGAAAACAGGTCTTGGATTGGCCTGGATTGATTTTATTAAATAAATAAATAAATTATGTCACGAGGGTACTCGTATGTTGGTTGTATTAAATAAAGTAAGAAATATGATTCTAATTTGTTATATAGTACAAGTACTATATATAGCAGTGCTTCCTGTGTCCCTTAAAGATTATTGCCCCATTGTAACTTATGTCTAGGTCAAACATGTACTTATAACTTTTGGCCATGATTTAAAATTGTCATATGGTGGAAATGTGGAATCTGGTTGGATATATTTCAATGTAAACAATTAGGGGTTATGGTGTAATTTTGTAGTTATTGATCTTCGATGCGCAATGTGTGACCATATACGAAGTACTAATTAGGGTGTTACAAAACACACATACATCATTAGTAATTACCTTCTTATTGTTCAAAAAAAAAAAAAAGTCATTACCTTCTTATTAATTGCCTTATTCAATTCAGGATAATTTTCAAGTATATCCTTATTCAAGTTTATAGGAAGCAAATACAACTATTGTCACATAGCCTGGTTGGGTTGTGATTTGCAATAAAAAAAAAATATATAGATATAGATTTAGACCACCTATAATATAGTTCCTTTATTCTTTCAATCCAAACAAAAGATAAGTTTAAAAGAGGTTACATTCTATTCAAAATGGTTATATTTTCTTAATAATCCAATTATAATTGAAATAAACAGAGCCTTAGGGCCTGTTCTCATACGTTTATTTTTAGTTCAGTTCAGTTCAACTCCTAATTTCTTTCGCTTATAAAATATTCAGTTCAGTTCAGTTCAGCTCCTAATTTTTTTCGCTTATAAAATATTCAGTTCGGTTTAGTTCAGTTCAGCTCAGTTTAGTTCAGCTCAGTTCAGTCTACGAGAACAAGCCCTTAATTTATTCAGGAGACAATAATTTCGAACATAAGAAATTATGATAGAAACATCAAACATATACGGAGTATATAAGAAAAATGGAAGCTTAAATTAATTAGGGTAGTAATCATGATAATATCTTCATTACAACTTATAGATGGTCAAGGAAGATGCATGACTGCGATAATTAGAAGCATGGGGCTTAGACAAAGTGGAATAAAGATGTTGGTAACAATGACCTTTAAAGAATCTTAATTATAATATTAATTCACATTTAGTCATTGTAATGATTCAACTACATACACGGGGACAAATTTCCTTTTTTCCACTCTTTTTTTCTACACAATTAGACCGTCAACTGCTCATAATTATTATGATAATTTAATTAGTTGATGTATGTGTTTATGATGATGATCTAACTTTGATTAGAAGTCTAATTACTTTTTTAAAAAGACTGCGACTTCTCCTAGAAAGCTATAATAATACTATAATATGTCCTAATTGTCTAGGTTCAGTCAAGTTGTTCTAGAAAGGTTTCCTTGTAAGTGCGTCGATGAAGATAAATTCCTATTTTGGAAATGTTAATTAAACATGGGAAGCAATCCAATTAGACTGTATATGATTAAGGGTCTGTTTCGATTTACTGAAAACAAACTCTTGAAGGATTGCATTGTTTGGAAAGCATACATGTACGTATTACTAAATGTGTATATTCATCTAAAGGACCAAATGAAATCTAGAAGGTGCATCAAAGGAACTTGGATGAAATTAATTGATTTAACACTCCTAATATACTGAGTAATATTAAAACACAACCCCTTCTAAATAAAGAGAGAATTATAAGTCGCGTGTTTGATTTTCTATAGAAACTTATCACTAATCCTTGTTATTGAAACTCGTTGGTTGACAAATGAATTAGGCCTTATTCTATCTAACTTATACTATACTCACTGAATTTTATGAAATACTAATACTTGTTTTTTGCAAAACTTGGGATAATGAGAAGATTTTATATTTTATTAAAAAAATCTTCTTTTTGCCGAAACTCATTTTAGTAACGAGTATAATAGAGTCATAGTTGCTTCATTCAAGATAGAAAATGAAGGTTGCTCAATTCCATAGTCATGAGTCATGACTCATAAACATGATACTACCTCGTCCCTTATTTATATGTCTATTTCTTCTTATTATATGAGTAATAAATATTAAAAATAAAAATGTAAATAAAGGACGGTTGAGTAGATGATTCAACAAAGAAGATCTAAAAACTGCATGCGCCCATTTAATTTTTTTTGGGTGCACAATCTTGTTCTACAGTACTTCTTTACAAAACGTGTATACAATTCATCTAGACATCTTATAAAGTAGACAGCAGCCTGCCTTCAATTTTGAGGGACCTTTTAACATTATAATATAACATTGTAACATACAAGTAGTCTTTTATATAGACACCAACCAACCAGCAATATCTCAATATATATATAAAGATAAAATTATAAGTTAGAAAAAAAAAATGGAATTCCTACAATTAGACATTGCAAATATTTGATTCAATTAGTAATGATTACCTGAAAATTAAGGGTCCCTCCACTAAGCCTAAAAAAAGGATCTTTTATGAAGGTTTATTGTACATGTTCTTATCTTCTTCATCTATTTGTTAGGGTAAAAAATGGTATCATTATCCATCAAGAATATTACTCCTCCAAAAAAAAAAACATTTTATAAAATCGACATAGAATTGATTTGTGTTCATCTCTTCATCTTTAACACGTCCCCATAATGATATAAAATAAGAGAAATGTTGGCCA